AGGTCAGATAGTAGGAGCACAAGTAGCAGCACTAGCAGGTCTAGTAGCAGTAGTAGCAGTTCAAGTGAAGATGTACCGAAACCATTGACAGATGAGCAAAGGTCTCACTTACGAGTAAATATTATTTGTCTCACGTTTGTGTGTTTGTCTATTTTTTACTTTTATTATTATTATTGTTATTATAATTAATATTATTATAATTAATTTACTTTTATTATTGTTATTATAATTAATTTACTTTTATTATTAATATTATTATAATTATTATTACTAAGGACGAAATTAAAGTATTAATAGAAAGTGATAAGCTTTCTGACCTAAAGCCTGATCTGACTAAACAATGGGCTAGCCAATCACGAGACGTGAGACAAAAGCTGATTCCAGCTATTACAAAAAAATTACCAGGATATCGGCACCATTCTGGCACGATTGAAAAAATTTTAAAACAACATCATAAGACGCAGCGTCAGACAGCAACAATAAATGCTGACCCAAAATTAAAGGCCTACAATCGCGCCAGAATGGGGAAAAATAGTAAAGTGAATGAGGTAAGCATAATAAAATTTGTCATGTAAATTATTTTTTAAATCAATTCTAGAGTTACTTGACTAACAAATCATTTATCTGATAAATCGGTAAGAGATTACTGATATATTAGGTAAATGATTTGTTCTTAGTCCACAAATTATTTACCTAATATATCGGTAATCTCTTACCGATTTATCAGGTAAATGATTTGTAGGTGAAGTATAATAATTTAAATTACTGTATTATAGAAGAGGAAAAGGAGACGAAAAGCATTAATGTATTTGATAAGGGCGGGAAATAAAAGCATAAAAAGATATTCACGGGACGACCTGGAGAAATTAACAAAAAGCAAAGAAGGGAATGCCTATCATTCTGATGAAGAGTGGAAGACCGATAAAGATCAGTCGAAAGACAGTAAGAAGGTTAAGAAGTTAGTTTGTATTGACAAATGGTGGTGAGGCTCTAATGTAAGTAAATATTTTACTGGTGCTGAAAAAATAATATTGATCAATTTTAAAATATTATTTATACATATGTTTTTAATTTTTTACTATGTAAAAAATCGTATTATGAGATAAAATTAGTCAGCATTATTTATAAGGCTATACAAAAATATTTTTTTAGTTTTCATAACATAGAGCTATTTAAACTGACCTGGCCGGCCGGCTTTTTTTTTAAAGTTTTCTATATAAAAATTTTATAAATTTTTTTTAAAAAACTTACCTGGTTATTAAAACATATAAAAAAATTTTTTACAAGTTTTCAAATTTTGACCCGGCCGGGTTATGAAAACCAAGAATTTTATTTTATATGGCCTAATGCTGGTTAATTTAATCTATCTACTTTATTAAACTATACATGTATGAATATTATATTAACAGACTATTGTCTTACATATTTAGTTAAAACAGCTATTCCATAAGCGTATTGATCCATATGTAGTACAACGGCAGCCAAAGAACAATAGAATGCATAAACGGCATTATGAAGGGAGGTTGATATGACAGGAATGCCACCATCTGATTGCCCAAGATGGGCATTATCAGAAGATGCTTTAAGCATATTTAACCTTTCGGATCCAGAATTTGACGCAGACTTTTCCACTGGAGATGAAGATCTATGTAAGAAAAAAAAAGTGAAAAAAAGTGGTAGTGCGGGTACAAAAAAAAGTAGTAAGGGAAGTAAAAGGAAAGAAAGAGACGACGATGATAGGAAAGAAAGAGAAGACGATGATGGGAAAGAAAGAGACGATAATGGTAGAATTATATTATACAAAAGAAGAAAGAAGAATGGTAATACTTTACCACTACCTAACATTAGAGAACTCGCTGCTACATGATTTAATGTTACTACAGTAACAACATCATCTGTATGAACTACAACAGCAACAACAACAGCAGCAGCAACACTAACAGCAACACCAACAGCAACACCAACAGCAACAACAATAGCAATACCAACAGCAACACAAACAGCAACAACAACAGCAGCAGCAACAACGACAGCAGCAACAACAACACAAACTAAAACAGCAGCAACATCATCAAAAACAGCAGCATCATCATCAAAAACAGGAGCAAAATTACCTTCGAAAGGTACAAAAGGCCTTCCTATTAATGTTACAACAATATCTGACGAAGATATACCAAGTGAAAGTGTTGGCAGTGATGATGATAGTGAGGGAAGCGATAGTGAGAGTAAAGGTGAAGATGAAGATGAGGATGAGAGTGAGCATGCAGATAAAAAAAGCGGGTGGGGTAAAAAAAGTAAGAGGAGAGGAAGGAGTGCTGAAAGTAAAAAACCAAGAAAAAATCGCAAAAGCGATAATGAATGTTAATTATAAATTATCATTTAATTTTTATTTTTCAAAATAGAATTTATTTGAAATAATTAAATTTAATAAATATAATATCGGTACATATAACATAAATATCATCTAATGAAATATTAAACAGTAAAATATCATATAAAATTTTTATATTATTGGTAAGACGATATTTGTAAATTAATTAGAAAATCAAAAATATCGGCTAAATATTCTCTAAAAAAAAAATTAACTGATTATTAAGTAATTAGTAAATAATTTAAAAACATAAAAAATCATTCGAAATATAATTAAAGAAGTAAGTAATCATAAGCCTATCATCAAGTAAATCATAACACTATCACCCTAAAAATTAAACCGATCATCTGATTACTAATAAAACATTCCTATAAATCACAATATTAGCAAAATATCATTTAAAAAAGTTACAAAATAGCCATTACTATATCGACCAATGATTAAAATGATCTTTAAATATCGGCCTCAATCGCTTAAAAAATGATTAATAAATCTAAAATATTGTCAACATCTTTAATACTGATATTTTAATTTTATAATTATCATTCGATATCATGCAAAACATATTTATTATATCAGTATAATATCGTATAATCTAGACAAAAATTATTTATTAATTAGTCTGTAAAATATCGGCTAACGATTAATCTAATCACCAAACTATCGTTAAAAAATCTTAATAAAATCTTCCATATATCTTTTAAATGATATACTAATTATCATAACGATATTTGAATGATTTTTAGATAAAATAAACCGATATGCAACATATTTTCCTAAAATCTTCAGGCTATCGGCTTGATTTTTTACTATCAAATCTGTTATAAACCATCATACTATCGGCTTGCTATCATCTAGGCCGATTATTTGAAGATATAAGGATGTTATTTTTGATTTCGACCAGTGTTGGTGAAGTGCCTTGCCAAACACTTTGGTCCCGTTTGGTCCTCCGGTTTCCTGGTTGATAATCCTTTATATAGTACCGTTGAAGATTTGTGCTACCTCTCTACTCGGGTCTTGCTAAGCAGGCTTTTATGTTCACCGACCTTGGATTTACATAACTGCTTCACTCAGATTTTGTATAACTTGTATATTACACTATTGTTCCACAGTCTCCCAGTACGAGCTGGTATGACCTAGTTACAGATGTCGATCTGTCCTTACACTCATAGTTGCCGTAACACTGTACTGAAAATTCAAATTTTTCGTCACTGGTAGGATTCGAACTCTGTTCCTGCACCTTGGCGATGCGACAACTTCACCATTACACTAAGTTGCCACACCATAAATCTGATATTTAAAAAACTTTTAGTTTATATTATAGTATATATTTAATGCTAATAATGCTAATAAAAAGTTATATACAAAAATTTATTAAATTAAAATTGTATTACTATATTAATATATTATATTATCTTGGCTTTAAAAGTAAGATTATCCACACACAAGTACTGATAGCAACCATAAAATATTAATTTCATCATGGTCATTTCCACATGCATTTACAGGAAAAAAGTAAAAAAAGTGTATCAGAACTAGAACCCATAAAAGAGTCTTTCTTTATAAAAACATGAATCAAGAACAATGGCAAAATTTTATTGATCAAGTTTCCTCAAATCTTAGAGCTAATCATACTATACTATATATAGATACTACTAAATCAATTAAGTCAACTTGGCATAAGATCCAAACCAGTATTATTAATACTGTATTACAATATATCCCTAGTAAAAAATATACTGTACGCAACTTCCAATATATATACTCTCTCAAATCATCTCTATTACACTTTTATCTCAAAAAACTAGGAAATATTATTCATCACATTAAAGTATCTTTAAGAAATCAATATCCAGTTCCTATCACCCACAATTTCACTATTAACTTAATTAATTCAACTCATCAACTTAATATTCAACATATTCCAACTGATCACAACCTGCTTGCCAACTGAATTAATAATAGCAATACTGAATGAAAGTATTTATACCATGCTAAAAACATCGAAAACATTAAGAAAATTAGAAATCAAATCAACAATAACATCACAAAAAGATGTGACAAGCTACTATCTAACCCCAAAGGTATAATCAACAGTATCTTAAATCGTCACAGAGATCCTGTCAAATTTAACAATATCAAAACAAATGATAACATTATTACTGATACATCCAATATCAAATCACATCCAAAAACACTTTGAACAATAGACTGGATATAGACAAATTAATCAAGAATTATTTAACTCTATCTGAAAATATGAATATAAACCCAAATCATATTCCAACCTAAATGATATAACACAGCTATTCAGAAATTCACAATAGATGAGATTTTCTCAAGCCTATCTCAACTTTCTAACAAAAAAGCATGTGGCCCTTTTGGCATTAGCTATGAAATACTCAAACATGCTGGCATTCCATTTCTTCAAGCAATTACTACACTCTTTAACTGATATATTGATTTTAATCATATACCTACACAATGGAAAGAGGGTAGAATATATCCAATTTTCAAAATGCCTATCTTTGATAGTAACCTAATAAATACCATACCTATAAGCCTTTTCAAACATATTAAAAAACTTTATACAAAACTTATTACCAACTAGCTTAACCAAATATTTACTAAGTATTTAATCCTTTCACTATACAACTACATTGCACTTCCTGGTAACTGTACAGCTATTTCTATTCATATTTTGAACAATCTAATCAAAAATTCAACTTGTAACTCTAAGAAACTTTGGCTTATATCACAAGATATGAGCAAAGCATACAACTTAGTCAACTTAAATCTTTTTCAGCAATTATTTACACAAATTAATATGCCTTCAAAACTTGTTAACATCCTATGCAACCTTCTTTCAAATCATCACAACAAAGTTATTACTAACTTTGGACTCACTCAATTATACTCCATTCAATATAGTATTAACCAAGGTGAAACAAGCACATCTCTCTTTTGGAAAATTTACTATGATCCTCTAATTCATAAAATTGTAACCAAATTTATTAGTTATACTTTATCTACCTCTTGAAAATTTCAACTTAACTGTTCAAACAACAAGCATCTTCAAGCATCTACATTAGTACTTGCTTATATGGATAACACACTTTGGATAGCTCAGACTATAGACAAATAGGTCTGCAAGATTTAATGTTCTTTATATTTAGTACTGCTAATCTACATTGGCCAGAACTTCATGCACTAATGCTGTTTAATAAAAATTATCATTAAAACATTATTGACAATCCTTACTTTACTACTTGGTTCTTTAATAAACGGTTCAAAAGTTTTTTTAAAAATGTGCCAATTAAGAAATGAAATTTGAAAGATTAGTAATATAGATTCGAATAGCAACATTATGGTTGTATTTATATATATAAAATTAGAAAGATAAAAGATGATCTTAAAATTAAATAGAAGCAATTAAAAAATAATAATGGTTCATTAAAAAAGATAATTCATTTATATTTTTAGTATAATTACATATCTAAATTATTAGCAAATCATAGTTATGCAGAGAACCAGATTAATGATAGTCAGACCAAATGTACATAGCAGACTATGGAATCTTTTGCAGCTGTGAGAACTGAGCTTAAAATGGCAAGC